TCTTAATTGCAGGGGATACACCTATCCTTGTTAAGTCTAAAGGGGCCATGTGTGCACATTCTTTAAATTCACAGGACCCCATCAAGGACAAAAAATAATATTATGATGATGATCTTGAGCAACAAAATTATGCATCATATCTTTATGTCAGATTTCTTTGAAGGTGTGTTAACCAATTAAGTAAGCAGCATATATGTATATGGTATATTTTTTATCTGAAGAAAGATATCACCCTGCCTTTGAGGGTCATTAACACAGGACAGTGAAAAGAAAGATTGGTAAAGATGGTAAATAAATAGGAGTGAATTTTAAATTTAGAAAGAGATAATAGATATAATTTGAATTTTACAAATGGTATAACAGAATCGGTAGGAAACATCAAAGCACTTTTAGATCAATTCTGTATGTGAACAATGCTGTTAGAAAATACACAGCAAGTTTTGAAACAAAGAGCATAAAGAATTTAAGCAGTAATCTACTTACACATGTTTTTTTAGAACCTGGAAGAGAGGTCTCTGGTTTCCCCTACATTTTATCTTTCTAATTTGGAGTGCTAGTTGTCAGCTATAGTTCATATCAAATAACGATTGCTAACAAAATAGTTGCCTTATAGGCTTCAAAAATGAAGTAATTTCATTTTGCACTGTCCAGAGAGTAAAATAAGCCTCAAGAGAAAGAGCATTTTATATACAACTTGTATGCTATGATGGAGTCTCAACCTGCAAACACATTTAAAAGAATCAGTAAGAAATAGTGCATTTTCACATAAGCCATATTTAAATATATAGTAGGTTTAAATGTATGACATGCACATGAAAGCAACATATTTATCATGACTAGTGAATTTAATTCAATGGGTTCTTCACATTGTTCTGTTATTTTTAAAACTAATCATTGGTGAGATAAAAGTACCGTTGTAGAAAAATAAGTATTAACTAATAGATCCAGTGAAAAGTATAAACATATTTTCCCAGAATTCAAGAAAAACCTTTACATAGTCTCCAAGTGGAAATAAAAATTTCCTATTCCTCTATATTTACATAAATCTTCATATTTTCTTAGTTATTGAGGGTATGGCTTCATTCCCTATCTAACTTGTAAAAGGATAGTGTTCTAGAGAGTTTTGAGGATTTTATTTGTGCAAGAGCAAACAGTTTATTTTATACCTGGAAGATAGTTTTAAAAGATTGTATACTTGTGAAGATTAAGGCAAACTTTGGTTTAATAAAACAAAACAAAACAAAACAAAACAAAAATCTAAGGTATTTTCATGTGTTTTACCCAGAACCTTTGATTTCTGAGATGCAAACCACTTGCAACAAGAGAGAAGTCATTGAAATATTAAAAAAGAAAAAGTTAGTTTAGTTGGTCTTCATGAAAAACACCAACTTGACTCCAGAACAGTGAGTGAATGGGACACAGTATAAGCCCCAAGGTCATCCTTGGAGCATCAGTTGACTGACACCAAGAAGAGTAAGCAACTTTCCAATCCAGCAAGGACAGAAGGACAGGGAATTTATCTCTGTTTTCTGACCTTCAAATTGTCAGCATTCAAAATCCTTGGTCACAGGGCCATTGTCAGCTCTGAGTCTTCTGAATGAGTAAGAAAGGTTGTGGATAGCCATCTTACATGGTGTTCCCTCCCTGTGTCTATACCTCATTCTCTTCTTGGAAGGATAGCAGTCACTTTGGATCTCAGCACACACTGAGAACATCTTTTTAATTTATCTCTGTAAAGCTCCTCTCTCCAAAAACATTCAGATTCTGAGGTACTGGTAGTTAGGACTTCAGCATATGAATTTGAGGGGATACATAACACACACTTTTAAGATTATCTTTGCATGGGTTGGTCACTCCTCCTTGCCCCACTCCCAGAATTGAGCTTCTGGAGAGCAGGAACTCTATTTCTCTTCTAATTCCCAGAAGTTACCACAGTGTCCGGCACATTACAGCTATTTCATGAGCTCTTGGTGAATGAGTGCATGGAGATTGGTAAGAAATTTGGAGTTGAAAAGTGGCACGGTGTTCCTCACTGCCAGTGGTAGAGCCTGAGTAGTAGACTAGATAATATTCACATGGGAAGATGAGGCAGAGAAAACACAGTGCACTCCAATCAAGACACTTAAATGGAACACGAGTGCTTGTTGCTGGTGACCTCCTATTCTCTGTGTCCAGCACTGAGAGTGAAATGACAGTTGAAGCTCTCGTGCAATCCCAAAGGTCAGGTCTGAGTCATTTGAGAGCAAGGAGAGTGATTGTCAATAGATATTTTTTCCTTAACTTCTTCATTTTAGGATCTCAAAATACCACAGGTTTAAGAAAGAATAATAATAAATAATAGGTAGTATTTATTTCCATTGCCTACTGCCTTTTCCCCAAAGCAGCTGCATTTAAAGGACAGAGAGAAAATGAGAAAAAGAAATTTAAATAGATCCCTTCAGATACTCTATCTAGGGATCTGTACATTCTTAGAGACCAGCCAAGCAGGTTTTAGGGATGTATCTGAGACTCCTCTGTCTGCCATTTTTGGCTTAAGGTCCTGACTTTGAAAGAGATTAGAAGACTTTACCTCAAGGCCAAAATGACATTTTTTTTTCCTGTAGTATACAATGATTATTTTATGATTCAAATACTAAACAATGCCTCATTAGAAATGTCTTTGGTATATTTGTGACCAAATAAATACATTGCAAAAGAAGGAATACATCTGAAGCAAGTAGGAAATTTTCTTTAGTTGTGGGTTTTGCTATCAAGTACTAAATATTCCCAAGTTCAATGGTAAAAGTCATTGGCCATTTTTCTTAAGAAAAGGAGATTCCTTTGGAAAATATATTATTAGAATAAGTGTAATAATTTCTGAAAGGCAAGTTATTTTGACCTAAAATTAGACTTGAGTTACTGATGCTTTGAAACTAGAAGTTAAATCAAAAGCATGGTAATTTTGTTAAATTGGTATCTCAGAGAAGCACAAGAAAGAGAAATGACAACATTTACTTGACTTTACATCTCATTGCTTCCATATACTTACTTTTACATGAACTTTTGTCAACATTTTTTGGTTTCTAAGGAAACACTAATATTATAATATTTTAAAATCATGTTTAAATCATGTTTCTTAAAGGGGTAGTGTTGGAAAATGATAATTTTATACTCATTTACATTAATTAAACTCAAAATTTGGGGTATCCTAAAGTTAAACTAGAATTCTATGTGTTATGACTTTGGTATATGCCTTGAAAAAATGTGTGCGTATCTTTTATTGTAATTTTGTTGTCATTACCCATTCTGGGCTCAAGAGAATGTCAGGAGTGGTTGCATGTCCCAAACAAGGCAGATGGTGTAATATTTCAAGAAGGAGCTGGGCAGAGGAGGGGAAATCTGTGGAAGAGGAAGGTAGATTAGGTTTGAGGGAACCACTTGGCTCAGACAGCAGACCTGGTACAAAGTAAGAAAATAGCATCAGTTCTTGCAGGATGAGCTCTCAAGTATGTAACACTCAATGTGGGTGGTGACCGTGGACTGGTGTAATTTTGAGGTAGAGGTGGTAGGCGATTTGCATTCTTGGATAATGTGAGGGCAGCATGATAGTGGAAAGAAGAGGGCTTTGAATCTAGAAACCTAGTATGAGTTACATTCCTACCCTACACGGTCTGTGTTGCTTTGGGTAAGTTGGTTGACCTTTTTGGGTTTCAGTTTCCTCATCTGTATAATGATATTAAGACCAACTCACAGGCTTATCATCAGGATAATTATATAATGTATGCAAAATTGCTCAGTAAGCTGGGATGTGCATTAAACATTACTGGTGAAGAGTGAAGATAGTTGCTATTATATTATCCAAAAGAGTGAATGCAGTTAACCATCCATATTTCCTACCCCAGACCTCCTCTGAACCAAATGGATCCACTGGGACCTACAAAATATTACATTCAGCGCAATGATTAGTGCTTTTAAAACCCAAACTGACATCTAAATCCACTTGTTCATCTATTAATGAGGTGTGATTTTTAATTGTTATTTATTAAATGTGGGACTTATTTATAAAACTTAGAGAATCAGATCTGGAGGGAATGTTACCTAATTTCATCCCTCTTTTCCAGCAGGGCTGTAATCAAATGTGAATTAGCCCTGACAGATGGTTGTTGGATTCTGTTCCTAAAATTTTTAAAGAAGATTTCACAGTTTTCTTCTAAATTCTTTTAGTAATTGAACAATTCTTGTGCCAAGTTCTTTCTTATAGCTGACCTAAATCTGTAGTTGTAATTTTAAGTCCTTTCCCCCACTCCTGTCTTTACTGGAGATGGAGAACAGCTGGTCAGCAGCTTTATGCTAATAACTCTTTGTATATTTAAAGAAGAGTTACTCAGTTTGCTTCCCTCTCTCCACCTCCTCCTACCCTCCAGAATCCATCCCCTAGTATTCTCTGAATCATTCATGACAATGCTGCCCAACTCCCTACCCCTCTCTCAGATGCTTGGCTGTTTCATCCAGCTGGAAAAAATGTGTTGTTAGTGGCCACATGGCCCTGGAGACAATCAGGAAAGCTCCTGCCCACTACTTTGTGCATAATCTTTACCCTAATAAGAAATAATTAGAATAACTCTTGACAGTGTTTGATGGGTACCTGAAAGACACATTTATGTCATAAACATGGACCTTTGCAAGGATACTTACACACAGGTTGCTTTGCAAGTTAGGACTCCCTGGTGACTTGGTGCACCTGACATGCCATTGAGCTACTACTTTGCTTGCTAAAGATAACATTGATTGATATCTCTGCTCCATTGGACTTGATCTTAGAAGACATTTAGCTAACACTCCTGAGTATAGTGTACATTCAGAAGCACACTAACAACTGGAAAGAGTTAAAGGGTTTCTCCAGCACTCTTAAGTTGCAAATGGGGGAAATAAGTGACCATTGAGAATTGAGCTCATTAAACTGATCCCAGGTGATTTCAGGTGCTTTTAATCTGAACATGTGTATTTTTATGTCTCTATAGGTTTACTACCCAGAACTCTTTGTCTGGGTCAGTCAAGAACCATTTCCAGGCAAGGAAATGGAGGGAAGGCTTCCTAAGGTAAGATCCTGATCTACCATTTTAGACGGGTACCTGACAGACACATTTATGTGAACACTACTTTCAATTTAGTGGTATTTGGGGAAAAATGTTATTTCTTTTTCATTTTAATATCCATTATATGCTACTGTAATGGTCCATTAGCATGATACTGTGATGACCTTGGAAAGAATATATATTTTTGAAAACATAATGTAAAGTCCTATGACTCTTATAGTTCATTTTATCTTCCTTTCTTGCCAAACAAGTAAAAACTATATTTTTATGTAAGAATCATGGAATCAATTTATCACATGTGCATTTTACAGATTCCTTGTTGGACAAACTCAAATATGATAAACCTAAAAACTAAAAGAGGTGGTTAGGAATAGGGGATTTTTTTTTAGTTGTAGATGAATATAATACCTTTATTTTATTAATTTATTATTTATGTGGTGCTGAAGATTGAACCCACTGCCTCCTATGTGCTAGGCAAGTACTCTACCACTGAGCTACAACTGAAGTCCTGAGGATTTCTTAAAAGTGTGAAATGATGACCTTTTCTTCTGCTAATAATTCCTGATGTCTGATAAGATTCCCTATGAAACAAAGTGGGAAGAACATAAAAACTGTTTTATTCATTTTCCTAATTTGTAAGTTGAAAAAAAAATTTATATTAATATGGTTTTGTTGCTTTGACATCTTAGTGTGACAATTCTCTGCTTTAAGAAAATTTTTAAAAATTTATATTTCAGCACCATTTTGAGACAAACAAAAATTTATCAGTTTTTACTATAGATACCTTTAGACTTTGCCTTTTAAGATAAATATCAATTTGACCTCAGGGAGGAGGATTGTACTTTTTATCACTGACACTGATTTTTCAATGAATAAAGAAAAAGTCTGTTGGAAATAAAATTTATATTCAAAAGTTTTATATGTGTCATTGACTAATGGTAAAGTCTTCCCCCAGAAAACACTGGTATTTCAATGTTTAAGAAACTTTTCTTTACTCTAAAAGGTTTTAATAGTTGCAGAAGTTGAAGAGATTGTGTCAACTGGAAGTTCACACTGAAAGAAAACAATCCTAAATCATTTTTAATCTTTCAGGGAATTTCTTAAGGTCAAGGTTGAAGTCATTGGCTGAAAAGTAGAGGAACAAAACAGCTTAGGCCCTGCCTGATCTTCAAGGTCTTTCAGGATTCAGGCCATAAGCAGTCAGACAAAAATACTCATCTCTTCCTTCATCATCCCACACATAATGGTCCCTAAGACTGAAGGATTTGACTATTCAGAAAGGCTGGGAATGGGGTAGGAAAAGGATGCGTTCAGTGTCCCCCACAGACCTGCTCTTCTAGAGTTGAAGAAAGCTAAATACTAGAGCTCTCTCCACCTACAGCACCAGCACAACACTAGACTGTGTGTGTGTGTGTGTGTGTGTGTGTGTGTGTGTGTGTCTGGGAACCAAACCCAGGGTGCTCTGCCACTGAGCTACACTCCAGCCCTTTGAAACATATATACTTTTCCCCTAGACATTTTTATTGAGCCAGATCAGGGCATAATTCCCTTGAGGCAGTTTAGGGTGAAACAGAAATACAAGCATAGCCTTTTCCTTAACTTGCTTCCTTAGGCATCTGAAATTCTTCTCTTTGATACTGGTGACATCAACCAGATGGGTAAGAGCAGGTGAAGCTCCTCAGTGAGGTCAGCAGTGTCACCCTTAACTCTTTGGAAAGCCATCAGGGATCAGATCTTGCACACACTGAAGCATGCATGCTTTAGGGGGTGGGCACAATGGATTGCAAGATCCACACCTCTGCCATTTTAAGTTGCCTCCTCTCTAAATAAATGAGTAATATTTTAAGCATACACTATTTTTCTTTCTCTGGCAGTTTTGTTTTGACAAAGCACATCTTTGCATAATTGTAAGGAAAATAATCTTGATTTACTTGGTCCAAAGCACATTATTGAGTAACTGGGGGCTAATCTTCTAGTAATCATCAGAAGGGAGGGCCACCTACCAGAGATATATCAGCTGTAGTGACATCCAGGAGAGTAGGTCTGTGGGGCACACTGGACACCTCCATTCCCCACCCTACTCTCAGCCTTTTTTTTAAATATTAATCCCTCAGTCTTTAGGGACCATTTTATGTGGGATAATGGAGGAAGAGATGATTATTTTTTTCTGAATGCTTATAAGGCCTGACATCTGGAAAAACAAGATGTCTCTGTGTCTGTTCTTCCCTCTTCAAGAGGCCTCCTTCCCTAGTTGTTGAATCCTAAAACTCCTTTAGTGTAACAGAAAGACTATTCTTTAAAACAGAATGGGTGGGGGATAAATGGGAGGCAGACTAAAATCTAGTAAGTCCAGGGTTCTAAAGGGAAAATGCACAGAACTGTGCCCACCCCACATCAGGACCTCCTCTCCTTGCAGCCATGTTAGTCTGTGGGCCCTCAGGGTTGGTCCTTCAACAGCCACCTCCATGCACAACCTACCACAGTGGGCTTGCTGGTGCCCCATTACTTGGGTGTCTGTCTCCCATTGAGCAAGTTAATTATGAGCAGGTTGGGCAGGGAATGTTTTTGTTTCTGTTTTGATCTCTGTGGGCTTAGAATCTAATAGAGCGCTCAAGCACTCACAACATGAATAATGAATGAAAAAATGCGTGTGTATTTTTAGGACCTCAAAAGGAAGGGGGGGAAAAGTAAAAATGTTAAATACTCTGTTTTTTTATTTATTTATTTTTTTATTAAAGAAGTACCTCTTTCCAAATTACCAGGTTTTCCATTTCATTTTCTTGTGTATTTTTCATGGAGGTAAAAGGGTACTAAGACTGAAACTTGTGTTCAGAATGCAGTTGTTCAGTAACATAATTTTTATGAACTTTTGATTTCCCTTCCTTGCTGGATTGTTGACAACTAACAGCTATTGAATTCTTTGTTTATCCAAAACCTAAGTTTGTCATGTCCTGACTATGCTAACTGATTGACTGAGGGGGAGGTAGTGGGCGTGACATTATTTTAAAAACACCAGCAGATTTCTTTTTTTTTTTTTAATTTTTGGATTGAAATTATTTTCACAACTACAAGGAGCAGACCAATATTATAGCAATTTTTTTTCTTAATCCTTAATGATGTGTGAGTGATTAAATATATTTTAATTTAATTTTCTGGGTTTTCCCATTGGTAGATACCCAAACAACCTCTGAAATCACAACTTAAGCCCTGAAGCATTAAAGTATATATTATGTGGATTTTACATACATCCTACAAATGTTATATGCTTTCAAAGTCTGAGGTATTTAAGCAAAATTTAGGCACACCAGTTGTTTCATATGCAAAACCTGTTCAGTAAATAAGACTTCTTAAAGTTCAATTATCTGCTGCATTTTGTTCAAACTGAGGTTGCTGGAAATGTTTATTCAGTTTTGTGTTGTTTAGAAGAAGTTCTCAACTTCTGAATTCTTAAAAATAAATTCAGATGTGATAATTTAAAGATCACCAAATAAGAATATCACTTTAGTCCAAGTCCTTATATCTAATCAAATTCATTTTTATTAAAACTGTCCTGTTAGTACCTGTGACCTGAGCAAAAAGCAAAAAGAGAGAGAGAAAAACCAGATCCTTTAACAGATCTTTTAAAACCACAAGGGAAATTTTTTTTTCCAAGAAAACTCCAGCAATTAATGGCTTAACTAAAAGAGAGTCTGTTGTCAATCTTCAAGCTTTAGTATATTCATAACTGAACAGGGCATATAGTCCCTATGTGGTTAGTTAAGACTTCTGTATTGCTTGGGTATTGCTCTCTTGCTGCCTGGTTGGGATGGAGGGCTGCTGTCTACTGCTGGCCCCTTCAGTGTGTCAGCAGAAGCTCTATGGTGGATGACCATCAGTCACACTGAGGTTGGATCATTGTAAGTCAGAAACACAAAACTTTGCTCATCAGGTTTAGAAGAGCCCCAGTCAACCCAGACCAACTGAATCATGCACTCATCTGGCCTTGTTTTCCCACTATCCTCCTCTTTCCTACAGCCACAGTTCAGGTTCCCCTCACATTATTTCCTTACCAAACGCTTCCATTCTTGGTGCCCACTTCTGGTTCTGACCATTAGGACCCACATGGAATGTACTAACTGCTTATAGAATAAACCACACATAGAAAAGATTTATGCCAGTTGTTTTAAAATATTTTTGTTATATATTAGAAAGCTGATTATTACTCCTCACCACACCACCTGCTGCACTTTAAAAAAAAAATTACCTATGAACACTCCTACGAGCACCTCTCATCCAGCCTGACGTTGGGTCGTATCTGACACTACCAAATATCCCCAGAAATCTGACTCTCAGGAATGCTGCCTCACACATGGCTGGCCACCACCATTAGAGAACCACTTGATTGTACTGAAGCAAAGGCGGTTAGTGTTTAATTGCTTTATGCCCCCACAGACCTAATATTTACATTTGGGTTAACTGTGTTTAATATGTAAACCGTTTGCAGAATAGCAGGAGTTCAAGGATAAAAAGTGGGTAGGAAGGCTGGGGATGTAGCTCAGTGTGGATCCCTTGCCTACGATGTGTGAGGCCCTGAGTAGGTAGGAGAAGCAGAATTAGAAAAAAAAAATGGTTTCAGAAGCATGACTGTTTGTCTTTTTTCTCTCTGTGTGTGTCTGTCTGCATCCACCTGCTTTATAGGGAAGACTTCCCGTCCCAAAGGAAGTGAACCGCAAGAAGATCAATGAGACCACCGCTGCCTCCCTGACTCCACTGGGCAGCGATGAACTCCGCTCCCCAAGTATCAGTTACCTCCACTCTTTTTAATCGTAACACCTCCATTTGTATTACATATGGTGTATGGGTATTGATGAGGTCATGGTATCATATATGGGATTTTTTTCTGTGTAAATCATCAAGTATACGAAGAAACTATGGGACTCTGAGCCTTGCTTTAGAGAATTTACAGTGGACAAATAGGTATCATCAAACCAGTTTTTAATCATTCTGACTCAAGTGAAAATGCTCAGAATTTCACACTGTGAATCCACGTTTACAATCCCCCTACAGGTGGGCCTTCAGGCCTGGTTCGCTACAACAGTGTCTTCCACAACTCAAACTCCCACTGCTCTCACACAACTGGTCCACTCCTGCCTTTTCACTCACACAGCTCCTGACTGCTTCTTGCAGAGGCTGAGAGTCCCCATTTTTTTTTCATTTAGATGTAACAAGCCTAGTAGTTTATGTTCATCAATTGTCTGTATATCTCTATATTTTATCCATGTACTCTTTTGATGTATAGAAGTAGTTTGAAACTCATTGTTTCCTTGTGGTAAGTGACCGAGATGCTGCCACAGGACCTGAGACACTGATGAATGGTGCTATTTTGGACTTTCAACATGCTCCTTGGCGAGGTAGCTCTGATGGAGTTATTTTTTATTTCCATGTTCTAAGAAGGTGTTGGTACTCTGTTTCCCTGAATGTTGTTCTCTAGACTGGATTGACTTGTTTTCCTTGTGTCTTCAGTGTGGCTTTCTTCCTCAGTGTTGTAGGTTGAGCGAATGCTACCAAGAGTGTGAGAGACTGTCTCGATGGCTGGCACTCATGGATATGCAGTCATGGTAGTGGGAGCAATCACAAAACTGTAATTTACTTACCAAATCTCTTCCAATCCGTAGCCTCGCCTGCCTGACTTACAGAAAGAAAAGCAATAACTTTACAGGCATTTTGAGATGTCTCTTTGGATTCTTTCTTTTTGACCAGATAATTTTTGCGGGGTGGGTGAGGGATGGGGGTGGGTGGGAGTGGGATGGGGGGAAAGGTCCACTCTTTAAATAAATGCCATGTAAAAAGAATCCAAAACACTGGCTTCTGTAGGAATATGAAAATTACACCTTTCCCAAGAATTAAGTTGAAAAACTGTATTTACAAAGTAATAATAATGATGATGATAAAAGGCAGAGCAATGTTTTTGGGCAGTTTTGACAAGCAAGGGTAGATTTTACATTTTTGTCCTTGCTCCCAGTGAAATGAATAAACAAAAATAAAATCAGATAATACCATCTACTCATGGAATGTTGTTGTGTTAGCCAGTCTGAAAGCCCACCTTAATTTTTATATAACTTTGTCTTTTAGCTCTTCCTTTGACAGGGCAGGCCTTGTTCTGAACTGTTCCGCTTCTGACTGTTAAACACCGATGACGCATGCGCTGCACTTCGTTCTCTTCTTGCGCCCCCATTGGCCTGAGTTTCTTGTGCTTTACTCCCACCCCCCTCCTTTGTTAGAATAGGTATATCAGCTGTGTAAATAGAGCAAGAAAACAGTATTCTGCATCTGTGGCATTTATGTAGAGTTGCAGTTGTGTACTGCTGAAAATGCAGGCTTTTGTAACAATGTGATCTTTACTGATGCACTCAAAAGTACCCAATGTATTTTAGCTATTTTAGTAGTATTTGTTCAATAAATATGCAAGCTGTAAAGGAATTGTCTGATTTGGCTTATCGTTGAAGAAGAAGAGTCCTACTTTTGAATGCCTTCATTGGTGCATGCTAATTTTTGTGTTCCCAGAACCCTTCAAGTCAGGCCTGTAAACCCAGGGGCAAATATCAAAAGAGAATCAGTTCTGCCTTTCATGCATTTTCCCTTTTGAGGGCTTTATGAGATTAGGAGCTGGGCAGGGCCTCATTAAGATGGTATTAGCAGAGCTGCCTCTGGACACAAAAGAAATCAGACCAAGATCTTTTTATTTCTTGACTCTTTCTTCCTTTCAGGGCATTCCCACATACCTCAAAACTTGTTCTTTCTCACTCCTTCCATTAAGACCTACTCTGTGGTATTCTTTATCCTTACCAAAAGATACCTGACCTTGCTTCATGGAATATTTGCACTTTTACACAGACAAAAGGCTTAAACTTGTAAGAGGATAGAATTTTGAGATAGAATTTTGTCACTTCATTTGGATGTACCCAGATACATGGAATTCAGCAGATGATAGAATGGCCTCTCCAGAACCTTCTGGAGGTCTCATGTGACCGTGAAACCTGGCAACTCAGGGGATTCATACTCCCAAAATTGGGAAATATCTGCTGGTCTCTTCATGTATTATGGGAGTGGAACTTTAATTTGGCTGTGTACAAATCACTAAACCAGGTGATTGGGTTCAGATATTGAGGGATCACCTGAACAGAGGCTAAAGAATAGAATTCTGAGATAAACAGCCAGAGGGGTAAGGAAGAGGAGCTGAAGAATGGGCATCAGATGCTGTCTGGTAAATCTTGGGTTCTTGATCATGCATGTCAAGAGGGACTTCTAATTTTCGGGTTGCTGAGTTTACTTTGAAATTAATACGCATCTCAAATTTTGATTGAGTTTCCTACTCACCCTCAACTTTTAATCTTTTTATGAGAAAGTATCCTTAGGGAAGAACTAAATCCCAGGTGCCTACCACATAATCAGATTTTTTTCAACCTGAGGGGAAAATTCTTAAAGACACCCTCACTTCTTTGTAATCCCATCCAGAAATTGATACATCTGGATGTAGGGGAAGCCCTTCTTATATTTGCTTTCCTTTAAACTTATAAACAGGCCTATTTCCCTAACCCACCAGGCTCCCATCACCTGTGGGATTGTCAAATTGTCAGGGAATAACCCCTGACTTCTTGCCTTGTTCTGAGAATAGAAAAAGGTGATGAGATTGAGCCATGGGGGTGGAACAGATGGATTGCTCCTATCTATTTCCACATAAAAAAAATTTCAACCACATTTTGCATCTTGGAACAATGAAAGTTTCACATCTCACAGATTCTGTTGATCAGGAATCCAGGAACAATTTAACTAATAGTTATTGCTCACGATCTTGTGGTTGCAGTCAAGATGTCAGCACGGACCATAGTCCTCTGTAGGCTTGACTGGGGCTGGAGAACCAGCTGCCACTATGGCTCAGTCCTGTGACTGTTGGCAGGATGCCACAGTTCCTCTATTCATGGGCCTCTCTATAGAGCTGCTTGAGTGTCTTCTTAAGTTCCAGCTTCCTCAAAAGTAAGTAAGTCAACAGAGGGCTAGGAGTAAGCCAAAATGCCTATGATCTATTCTCACAATGCACCATCATCTATCATTTTCTGCTCATTAGAAGCAAGTCATTAAGTATAGCCCACACTAAAGGAAGAAGGGAATTAAGCTGTACCTCTTGGAAGGAAACCAAAGAATGTTTGGACATGTTTTTTAAATCAACACACTATCTGAAGTTAAAGCACTCCAGTAATTGTAGAGCAGGGGTCAGGTGTAAAAAGAGGTAAAACTAGAATCATAGCTGCTTCTTTCTGCTGAAAAAGTTTTCCAGTCCTTTGGAGCTGAGAGACTAAAGGTAGAAGAGGACAGCAACCAGGAACTATAATATTTGGGTTGCACAGCCTCCATTTATTAATCCCCACAAAGGATATTTATAGAATGTTATTAGAAGCTTTAAAAACAAGGAACCTAAAATAAAAGACATTTAAAGTTCTCTGAGCAAATTGTGCACTGTGGGATTCATTGGTAACAACTCCCTTGGTCTCCAAAAAGTTTGAAATATTAGATGATTGACCCTGCACTGCTCCTTAAAGGTACAGGAATCATGGGTGAGGATCAGCTATAGACTTGTTAGGGTAAATAACTGCTGAAGCAGAGCTAAGAATTGGAGCTGGCTGGAGTCAGAGACCCCAAACTGCTTTGTTCTTTCACCAGAGGCAAACATAGCACCATGTTATGTTTGGGTGGAAATTGCCAACCAACAATCATGGACTACGTATAACCTATAGGCTTGTTTTGTTTTGCCTACAATGTGTTTTATAAAAAATATTAATTTATTTGCCATTATTGACAAACTTGAAGATTTTGCATGAAAATCTGGATTGAAAATGAGAGATCTAGGAATAGTGGGATTGGAGTTGAGATGAAGTCTCTTCCTTTGGATGAGGCACGCCCCCTCCTTGATTCAGTCCTCACCACTCTTTTCTCACAATCTGCCTGCTTCATGCACTTACATCACTGCCCACCTCTGTTGGTCTGGCAGTTTACAACATTAATCCTGTGGTTCTAAGGAATGGTGATGCACTTATTTTCACCAAAAAAAAAAAAAAAAAGACTAGGAGACTTATACTCTTTGCTTTGATAGTTGGAGCACTTGGAGTACCATGGACAACAGATTGGAAACAGGCATCTTAATGCTCATTCCAAAACATGTCTGCTGCGATCTCATTTGAGCCTTTCCTGGGCCCCTTTGAAACTATTAAGTCATCCTCCTCCCATGGTAAAAAATCTTGGATGGGGTCAGGCTATGCTCTGTATGGGTAGAATAGATTCATGATTTTCAAACTGAGGTATGTGTTCCTAAAGGCATGCAATGGTTTTCCAAGGACTATATGCTTATGGATAGTTTTAAGATCCTCTGTATAAACTATATTCTTTCCTAAAATTGGTTGTTGAGAACAAGTCTAGGTGTATAATAGTTCTTTCCCCACACACCTTTCTTATAAAAGATATATAGAAGTTTTACCCATCCCAAATTTCAGTATGATACATCGCCCTTAACTTGACACCCAAAAACCCAGGTGTAGCATACTGAAAATTTCCTCTAATGATAATAATTAATCTGTAGAGCTTGGGGCTTTCCTTTCTGAAATACATATTAAAGGTGAATATGATGTTAATAAGGTAGAAATGGGGCTTTTGGACTCCCATGTAGATTTTCAAAATTCAAGTATGGTAAAGTGAAATGATGGGCATTTCAATTTTGATTTCCTTTTCTTTCTCCTGATTTTTATTAAAGAATGTGTTGCTCTTGAAGGAAAATCCTGAGAGAGTAATACAATGAGACATTTGTTAAGAGACATCAAATACCCAAAATGGCTTCTTTGTGTGATTTTTTTTAAGTTGTCAGTGGACCTTTATTTATTTACATGTGGTGCTGAGAATCGAACCCAGTGCCTCCACATGCTAGGCAAGCACTCTACCACTGAGCCACAACCACAGCCCTCTTCAAGTGATTTTTAAGCAGTTGTTTTTCACTATTTCAATATCTATCCCTAGGTTGTATCTTTACTAGGAAGAAGTTACTAGAAGTAACTTGGAACAGCTGGATCAGCATAGATTTGCAATGCTGATTTATTGTAATTAATTAATTAATTAATTTTGAGACTGAGTCTTTCTATGTTGCCCAGCCTGGCCTCAAACTCTCAGATTCAACCTATCCTCCTGCCTCAGCCTCCCAAGAAACTGGGACTAAAGGCATGCACCACCGTACCTGGTTTACTGATTATTTTACATGTAACCAGTAAATTTTCACAAAATAGAGTGTAAAATGTGTGTGATTTGGTTAAATCCGAGGATTAAAAAAAAACTTTCATGTGGATTCTTCCATATTTGATGTGCATTAGTTAACAAAATTGTCAAAACCTGTTGTATCAACTAATGGCATGAGATTTTTATCCAATTACAGTCAATTATCATCATCTTTTCTCTTCTAAAAATGTTTATTATCTTTTTCATAATTGCAACAAAAAATGTATGTGCTGTCAGATTGATTAGCAGCCTAGAACTTTTCTATGATTAGTGGAGTTTCTGATTTTTACACTAGTTCTTACGTAATTATTGTTCAAAGGTAGTCAACAGTGTTCAATAGCTGCACATTATTTCTCTAGAGATAGGATGTACTTTGTATCATTTTTTTCTTGTATAACATGAGGGTATATTGATCATCTTGTTTTTACAGTTTATTTAAACATGCAAAAATTGATTATATTAGATCTGTATTATCTTGATTTTTATTGTTTTTAGTGACCAGTTTTATAAGATATACTTTTAGTTTTCATAGATTTTTAAAATAGTCCTTGAAATAGCTATTTGAAATGAAAAATGAAGTCAACCTTTTTTTTCACATAAAATGTATGTGATTTGGCTAACCAGTGTGACAGTGAAGATTAACCTTGCTGATGAGGTTTTTTTTGTTTTTTGTTTTTTGTTTTTTTGCCAAACATTTCCTGTGAATGAATTTACTCTGTACTCCAAAGTAGAGATAATATATTTAAAGCAAGAAATAAGATAAAAGTAGGGCTGGGGTTGTGGCTCAGTGGCAGAGCACATGCCTTGCACTGGGTTCAATCCTTAGCACTACATAAAAATAAATGAACGAAATAAAAATATTCTGTCCATGTATAACTTAAAAAAAACTTTTTTAAAGATAAAAGCATTTTATAAAAAGCTATTGTTTAGGCAATAGCGTTACCAAATTTAAAATATATTTTCTGCCTGAAGAGAGTTTCAAAAGGTAGGTCTAAGTGAAAGTATGATTGTACAATTAACAATAATTGATAAATCATAGTAAAGATCTCTTGCTATACTTCTCAGAAATTGAGAAAGTGAATTATTCAAAAACTGGAGAATAAATCTCTTTGCTAGTCAGGTGCTTTCCAAAGTGTTACTTTAAAAAAAAAAAAATATATAT